CCTTCAAGAAGAGGTTCACTGCGTGCAGCTCGCGGAACAAAGATGGCACGGAGGCTACTCATTGGTGCCCCGCCCTTTGGAAGCGTTGACCCCGCTGCTGCGCCTGTGTCGCGCCCACCGCTGGCCGCCCCCGCTCGGCCAGACGTCGATGGCGAACACATCGACGCTCACATGGGAGGGGATCTTTGGGGGGAGAACTTCCTCCTCCTCCTCCTCCTCCTCCTCCTCCTCCTCCTCCTCCCCCTCCTCCTCCTCCTCCTCCTCCTCCTCCTCCTCCTCCTCCTCCTCCTTGATGGCAGGCGGGGCGCCTCCTCCCACTGCTTCGCGGCTGGACCACATTATGCCGAAGAGAATGGTCCTGAACTAATGTCGCTCGATCCTGAGCACGCGGAGGTGACCTTTGAAAGGGGAAACTCGTTGGGGGGGAATTTTGCTGAGAACGTCGATGTGAAAACGCTCGCGCGAGGACCCATAAATCTGTCTGCCGATCAAACTGCAGCAACTCCCGCCGAGACTTCTGCGATTCCCTTTCGGGAAGATTGCACGCAAGTGCACGACGTTGCACATGAAAGAAGGTGAGGAATCCGGCAAGGAAAATCTTGCACAGCAGATGGGACAAGCACATGACGATTTTTGCGATAAGAAAATTGCCGACCCCTGGCTCGAGCAGCGACAGGTTAGGGTCATGAGCATCACCCATGAGATTACCATGACATTTCTGGCCAATGGTCGGCACATTGTTTTCCCAACTGAATCGGGCGATCGCTCAGAGGTGGTGTTCGAGCGAGACAATCTGGCGCATCCTCGCTGTCCACAGCAAAAGAAGAGAGATGCATCTAAGTGAGGGAGCCGAACGGTCATTCACTGTCCCTGGGTGCGTGGCTGAAGTGGAATTCCGCGGTGCGGATTCTCGTTGTTGTTTGTTGTTTGTTGTCGTCGTCCCACCCGCAACCCGCCCCGCGACCCACCCGCGACCCAACCCGCGACCCAACCCGCGACCCACCCGCGACCCACCCGCGACCCACCCGCGACCCACCCCGCGACCCACCCCGCGACCCACCCCGCGACCCACCCCGCGACCCACCCCGCGACCCGCCCGCGGCCCAGCCCGCGACCCACCCGCGACCCACCCGCGACCCACCCGCGACCCACCCGCCACCCACCCGCCACCCACCCCGCGACCCACCTTAGACCCAAACCACGTTCAAGGTACAAATTATCCCAGTGCGACCTTACCTAGGAGTTGGAGCATCTAGGAAAGCAACATCTACATCTACACCGACGGCTACATTAACATCTACACCTGCATCTACATCTACATCAACATCAACAGCGAGACCCACATCTACATCTACATCTACACCTACATCTAACCTACATCTACAGCTACATCTACATATACACCTACACCTACACCTACACCTATACACCTACATCTACACCTACACCTACACCTACATCTACATCTACACCTGCAGGCTGTTCAGCACTGCTCGCGGCTCCTGCAAGAGCTGCAGGCTGTTCAGCACTGCTTGCAAGAGCTGCAGGCTGTTCAGCACTGCTGCTAGGCTATGCTATGCTGCGCTATGCTATGCTAGGCTATGCGATGCTGCGCTATGCTCTGCTATGAGATGCAATGCTGCGCTATGTTATGCTAGGTTGTGCGATGATATGATATGCTGCGCTATGCTCTGCTATGATATGATATGATTGCTATGCTATGCTACAGCGCTGTGCTATGCTAAGTAATGATATGCTATGTTATGATATGAGTTGCTAGGCTGCGCTATGCTATGCTATGCTGAGCTATGCTATGCTATGCTATGCTTGGCTATGGTATGCGATGCTATGCCGTGCTAATGCTGCGCTGCGCTATGTTGCGCTAAGCTAAGCTAAGCTAAGGTCAGCTCAGCTATGCTAAGCTAAGCTAAGCTAAGCTAAGCTACAGCTAAGCTACAGCTACGCGAAGCTAAGATGAAGTTAAGATGAAGCTAAACTAAGCTAAGCTAAGCTAAGCTAAGATGAGATAAGCAACGCTAAGCTAAGGGAACGTCACTGGGGGAACCGCGGGGCGGATCCTGGGGGAACCGCCCGGGGCGGGGAGCACTGCCTGGCATACAGGGTAAGAACTCTTCTAGGCAGAGCCTAGGTAGGGAACCATCATTTTCGGCGCCTGCGGCGGGCTTTTTTTGCATTCCTTCCAGGTGGAGAGCCCGCGACCCACCCCGTGACCAACTCGCGACCGACCCGCGACCCAAACCACGTTCAGGGTACAAACCACATTTTTCGGCGCCTGCAGCGGGCATCTTTTGCATTCGTTTCAGGTGGAGGGCCCGCGGCCCAACCGCGACCACGTTCACGGTACAAACCACATTTTCCGGCGCTTGCGGCGGGCATTTTTTGCATTCGTTCCCGGTGGAGAACCCGCGGCCCACCCGCGACCCAAACCACGTTCAGTGTACAAACCAATTTTTTGGGCGCCTGCGGCCTGCGGCGGGCTGCTTTTGCATTCCTTCCAGGTGGAGGTGGAAAGCCCGCGACCCACCCGCGACCCAAACCACGTTCACTGAACAAACCAATGCCGCACAAGCGCGGCGGCGGATTTTTGCATGCCGTCTGAGCCCGCAAGGACCTCTTCAAGCCCCGCGCAGCCACACCAGCCCGTCCAGCAACTTTGCCCTGGCGAGTTGCCTTGATCAGAGAATCGGGGAGCATAAAGTGGAAAAAAGGATTGCGTTGCAGTTACTTGGGAAAGGAGGGGGAGGCAGGAGGAGTAAACAGGGGACGAGGAGAACGCGGAAGAAGAGAGGATGTAAGGATAATGTGGAGAAAGAAAAGGGGGAGGAGCAGGAGGACGAGGAGGGGGAGGAGGGGGAGGAGGGGGAGGAGGAGGACGAGGAGGGGGAGGAGGGGGAGGATGATGATGATGGACGACAATTGGAGGACGATGATGGAGGCCGATGAGGGGGAGGACGACAATGGGAGGACGATGATGAAAGGACGAGGGGGGGAGAGGGAGGACGAGGAAGAAGAGGAGGAGAAGGAGGACGAGGTGGAGGAGGGGATGACGATGACGATGAGGACGAGGACGAAGAAAAGGAGGAGGAGGAGGAGGAGGAGGAGGAGGAGGAGAGCGCCATCGACAGGGCAGGTGGGGGCCACGAGGTCCGCCGGCTCGACGACGCCCGCGTCGCCCGCGCCCGCCCCCTCACTCTTATCCGCAATTGCGGGGTGCTACGTACATCTGAGATGCAAGCATCAAAGTAGGCGTTCAAAGTTCGGACCTTCTGGAAACGCATATGAAGGATTTGGCTCAACCTCAAGTCCCAAATGCGCAAACAGTCGCGCTTGACCCAGGCATGCATCGCCGATTTTGCCAACCATAGTGAGTGGAAGGAGACGACGCATGGCGGCCGCGCCGAATTTTGGAACCAATTGGTCAACGAACACGTCCACTTCGCCGCCGCGATAGCCATCGGAATCCCGCGAAGCTTTGCACGACAAATTTTGCCCAACATGGCGCCCCAAATATCGACTCGGCCGATGTTGGCGCGCAAGCTGGCGCGAAAATGCTGGTGGCCGCCAGTGCTGAAGAAGTGCAGCCACAGATTGTTCTTGCGGCCCAACGGCCAAACATCGCTGTTAACGACGCTACTGGCTCAGCCGGTAGCGCCGCCGACCCCGGGCCATTCGCCTCGATGGAGACTGGCGCTTCTCCTGGCGAGGCCACCGACGTAGACGGTGACCCGTTCCCCTGCTGCGCCGACGCGTGCTAATGTGCCATCGGCCGCTGATGGCCGCAACCTCCAGGATGGCTCGCTCGGGCAGTCTTTGCGGCGCGCGCTGCCTCCGCCGCCGGATCCATCGCGGAGCAGGAGCCGTGGGGCGACGCCCGTTGGCGGGATGTCCTCTGCTGCCTCGCATGGCGCGCAGGGACGCAGCGCTCGGGCAGATGGTGGACAAGGAGAAGCTGATCAATAATGGCTTGACCATCGTGCATCGAGCAGGCAGCCATGGAGGTGCCGCGCAGATGCCCGCGCCGCAGATGGATATGACAGGTGCGACAAGAATCGGCAGTACCCTGCCAGGAAAGGCGGATACTACGTCTGGAACAAGACTGACAAATATTGGCGATCTTGGAGTGCAGTGGAATACGCCGTGTATTATGCATATCGGAGTTTGACGCCGACTTAGTCGGGGTCGTACTACACGCTCATCCAGATCGGGACAAAGTTCCAGTGCCCGATCAATCGCGTTCACTTTTGATCTCAGGGGCTTATTTGTGGGGTTCGTCGGTCTGTTCGGCCCTCGAGGGAGGTCCTGCGGTATTATTGGCGCCCCTTCCCCTGGCGTTGTAAAAGTTGTTTGGGAGTTGGTGTTCGGAATGGCCAATGTGCCTCGGGCGGGCTGGGAACCCGAGGATCTCCGAGGAGGGTCGAGACCTTCGGGTCTACACACACATCCCGCCGCGGGGGTGCGTGTTAAAATTTTGTCCCCTGCCAGGTCTCTGCCGCCGCCGCCACTCGTTTGCTGCAGTGCAGATTGCATCGCAGCTGGTACTGGATCAAAGGGCCTTGTGGCGTCTAGGAACTTGGGTCGGCACCGCGGGTCGACCCCATAATACGGAGAGTATCATGTGTTAGTATATTCCGTGCTTTTGCATCCAGCTGTTACCAACTTAGCGGATAATTGAGGCATGCCGATGCGACTCGCATTAAGCGGTGATGAGACCGATTCAGCATGACTCTTGCACCCCACAGTTTCCGGAGATATCGTTCCACTGGCAAATAGCTGGAGAGAAAGAGAGAGAGAGAGAGAAGGAAAGAGAGAGAGAGAGAGAAAACAAAAAAAGAAAAAAGATAGAGACAGAGACGGGGGGAGACAGCCGAGTAGTCAGACAGACAGAGGAGGAATGAGGCGAAGCGCAGATCCGATAAGAAAAGGCGAGTCTTGAGATAGTGAGTGTCGAGGGGGGGGAGTCGACCCCTGATTCGCCCAAGGCGCCCCAGCCAGCTGCACCGGCGGACGCCGGCCAGGAGCGAGGGAGCGCGAAACCCAGACCTCCTCGCGCCATTGCAGCCGAAGCCGTAAAACAACGCGCAGAAGGTTTGGGCCCATCTTCGACCTCCAGGAGCCCCTCATGGACCGTAGCGGATGGCTTGGATGAAATGCTGGCCACAGGGAAATGAAACAAGTTGTTAGAGGTCCACGCTGCGAGCAAAAACGCGGCGTCGGAGGTCTTGGAGGGGGGGGGGTCTGACACTGTTGCGTGTTTCGTGCGTTCTTCGGGTTGGAGGATAAGCAGGGAAACGACGGCGACGAGGAAAAGGCGGCAGCAACATCAGTAACAGCAGGAGGAGGAAAAAGGGGATCAGGAGGAGGAGGAGGACGAGGCCGAATTATGAAATTGCCACCGCATACTTCATACTCATATTAATCATCGTCATCATCATCATCATCATCATCATCATCATCATCATCATCATCATCATCATCATCATCATCATCATCGTTATCTTTATCACTATTATTATCATTTCGGACGGCTGAGCAGGGGCAACATGCTCTGCCGGCTGGTCCTCGGCCTTTTTGTGAGTTGCTTTTTGTCGGCAGTGGCCAAGGCGGTCTTTTGCTTCTGCACAGAGTCGATTTTCTGAGCAAGGACGCTCTCATGCACGTCAAGGTCGATGACCCGTTTGTTGGGCTGCTGAAGACGGTCCTGACATTGTTGTTGGGCCCTCTTCTCACAATCCACGCGCTGCTTCTCCAATCTCTGTTTGATGAAGCCGATGTCCAGGGAGTGTTCCTGGATCTGATGTTCCATCTGCTTGCTGGTGTCATCAAGCACCAGGAACTGCCCCTGGGACTTCTGGTCGAGCTGCCCGACTGTATCTTCAGGTCGCTGGTGTCCACAAGAGTCGGGCGTTGCTTCAAGACCATGTGCTCGACCAGATGGCGCTGCTCATCGAACTGTGCCAGGGCAGCGGCATCGGACTTGTCATTCGCCAGCTCCTCCTTCACAGGCACCTTAGACATGTGCACGTGGCTCGGCTCAGGTCGCGCCGCCTCTTAGGAGCTGAAGAGCTCCAGCCCCGCCTTACCGAAGCCGAGCGCCTCTGAAACCTGAGAGATAAGTGCCGCAGCGGGATGTCCAACTTCATGTCGCACCTCCGAGAGATTCCTAACTCTCGCAAGCAGGGTGCCAGCACCAGCCTCCCTGAGCAACACCTTCGCCGCGGAGACCGAAGGCCTCGAGGTGGCCCAGGGGAGAGGCCACCACGCCCACCCGGGCCGCCGCCAGATGCCGCGCCGCACGCCGCAGAGGCCACCAGGGAGGCGAGCTGCTCACCCCCCGTGCCCCAGACGCCAGGCGCCCCCACGACGGCCTTGCAGACTGCTGCAGGCGCAGCGTTGGCCGCCGCCGCATCCATGCCAGAGGGAGGGAAGGGGGAGGGGAAAAAACATATGTTTTAATACCTTCATCTTTATATATATATATATGTATATAATATATATATATATATATATATAATATATATAATATATATATATATGTTGTGTGTGTAAATTTGAATAAATGTATGCATATATGTATATATATATATATATATGTATATATATGTGTGTATATATAAATGCCAGAGGGAGGGAGGGAGAGGTGGTGAGGCCCAGTGTTTGGGGAGGCCGCCGCCGCTGGGGCGAGGCCCAGTGGGTCGAGCCAGAGCGGCTACGGACGAGGCGCCGGAGCAGGAGGAGGCGTTGGAGGGAGGGGGAGGAGAGCACGAGAGGGAAGGAGAAGAGGGGGCAGGCAGCGTCAGGGTGGAAGCTGTTTCCTTCCCTGGTCTTCCTCTTCTCCGTCCTCATCCGTCTTCCCCCTCCCCCTACCTCTGCCTCCGCAGCCTCCCCCCTCCTCCTCCTCAACCTTGGTGAGATGCCTCATGAAATGCTGACGCCCCAAGCCTACTCCCCCTCCTCCTCTTCCTCCACCTCCTCCTACCCCTCATCCTCCTCCTTGTCATCCTCCTCCTGCCCCCCCACCCCCACGCACACACGCGCGAACACGCACACAAATACACACACACACACACACAAACACGCACGCACGCACACACACACACACACATACACACACACACACACGCACACGCACACGCACACTTTTTGGCGATCGCGGCCTCGCGTCCAGCGACGGGGCGCGGCGGAGCAGAACATCGCACACGTACACACACACGCGCGCGCGCACTTTCCCTCGGCGGCCGCGTGCTCCGCACCGCGGTGGTCACAGTGTGGATGGAGTGCGGGGACACAAACACACTCTCACACTCTCACACACACACACACACACGCACGCACGCGCGCGCACGCGCGCACGCGCGCACGCACGAACGCACGCACGCACGCACAATCACACACACGCACACACTTTTTGCGTCGGCGGCTGGGCAGAGGCCGACTGCTAACCACACACTAACACACACTCACACACACACACACACACACACACACACGCGCGCACACGCGCACACAAACACACACACACACACACACACACATCCGACGTCATTGTTTGTTCGTGGCATGAGCCCCCAGAACATCCCAGGAACTTCAGTGCCCCTGGGCCCGTAACAGCCCACCCAGATTCCTAAACGTTGAAAAACTTGCAGTCGCACGGTCAAAACTAACAGCGATGACGAAGTTTCCAAGGGTACCCGTGCATCCTTGCTTTTCGGCCCATCCGAAGGCATGCTTAGGTGTTGGCCGTGCATCGCTCGAAACGTCTTGACTTGGGCGCCCACGGCGAGTGTATGCTTACCGCGCATCCTGCTCACCAATATTGACTGTAACTTCCCTGTGTGACGCACGAGTTCTGAGCCCTGGTCCTCCTCCTCCTCCTCCTCCTCCTCCTCCTCCTCCTCCTCCTTCTACCCCATCCCCTGTCCTTAGAAAAAACTCATCCCTGTCGTACCCCGAGACGTGTCGGTAGTGCGGGCCGGGTGTTTCGCTTGAGATATCCCCCTCGTGTATGGTCTTGGAGCTTAACTTGTGCAAGAGATTCGCGGACGGAGGGCGAGGGGTTTTCAACATGTGGTTATGGTTTCAGTGCCGCCCACATTCGTTTTAGAAGTGTTCCCGAGCTTCACGGATGGCGGGCGGGCAGTCCTCATAATGTGTTTCTCGCCTTCGCGCCGCGCGCATTCGTTTTAAAAGTGTGCAAGAGCTTCACGGGTGGAGGGCGGGTCATGTTCAAAATGTGGCTCTCGCTTCTGCGCAGCGCAACACCGTCGTAACAGTTGTCAAGAGTTTTCGCGAATGGAGGGCGGCTCCTTTCTCGAAATGTGGTTCTCGCCTCTGCGCCGCGCGCACTCGTTTTGGAGTGTTCGAGAGCTTCGCGGATGGAGGGCGAGCCGTTTTCAAAATGTGGTTCGCTTGCGCCGCGCACCTTCTTTTAAAAAGCTTGCGAGAGCCTTGCGGGTGGAGGGTGGGCCGTTTTCAAAATGTGGTGATCGCTTTCGCGCCGCGCACACTCGCTGCAAAATGCTGCAAGAGCTTCACGGACGGAGGGCGGGTCGTTTTCAAAATGTGGTGGTCGCTGTCGCGCCGCGCACATTCGTTCTAGAATTGTGCAAGAGCTTCACGGATGGAGGGCGGGGCGTGTTCAAAATGTGGTTCTCGCTTCAGCGCTGCGCACAGTCGTCTCCAGAGCTTACATACATCAGCTCCACATGTTATCATGGTGGACGTTCCAGGAGTTGTGTTTGGGCACGGTGTAGGACCGTCGGGGCGCAACAGTCACGGTTATTCTGCGGCGTTGCAGTCCCAGGCATGGTGCTCTGGCGTGATTGAGGATCGCCAGAACGCAGCAGTAACGTTAATTCGTGGCGTTTAAGGTCCAGGAATCTGTTTTGGCACGGCTCATGGTTTTCAGATGGTTGTTTCTCCAACGGGGTATTCCCTTCATTGAAAAGAGATATGTGTAGGGACCTATGGAGAGGGAAGTTGGAAGAAGGGTTGATTGCAACTTCGTTGATGGCTATTGGGTTTACACTGGTCATCCTCCTCCTTCTTCTGATTCTACAAGTCTCCGAAGCAAGTTCGTGGCGAGATGCTGCTCAGGAAGGTCCGCTCCTCGCCTTTGGAGGCTGACCCTCAGAGGCGATGGTTCGTCGACCGCGAGCGGGGGGTCCTCAAGTCTGACTACACGGACGTCCTCCGCCTCATTCCTCGCCCTGGGGATGAGCCCCCAGAGATCTCGTGGAACGACGTCGGGTTTCGTGCTCTCGGGCTGGACAAGCGCGAGCTCCAGAATGCCATCCGCAGTATCACCTCTGCCCCAACGGCTACGCAGTGGTGTCTATAGCAAAATTACGGAAATGGTTGTGCTTCCTGTTGGGCGGGTCGGCGGAGTAGTCACAACCAGCCTTCAGTTCTTGTCTTGGAATGCACGTGCTCTTCTTCAAGCTGGCGGTGCGAAGGCCCCGTCGAAATTGAAATGCTTGCAGCGTTTGCAGCCAGGTAAGGCTATCATTGCTCTCCAAAAGGTACGTGCTGATCGTATCGAGCTGAATGATTTCATCTCCAAGGTCTCGGCCTCCGCCGTCGTCCATAGCAGCTTCTGCGAAGATGAGGCTGGTGGTCTGGTTCGAGACGCTGGGGGTGTTGCGGTCATTATACCCCCTCTCTCCTCCTCGGCTGTCAGTAGTTGCGCGATGCCTCTTATCAAAGGCAGGGTGCTTCGTGTGGACGTGGTACTTGGGTCGACACAATTGGTGATAATTAATGTACACAACCACGGCTTGACCAAGGGTGATGTACAACACGTCTGTGAGCAGATCCGTTGTGCGCTGCGTCATGCCGCTGATAATCCCTTGTCGTATTTTGTGGTCGTGTTGGGGGACCTCAATTACAGGTACGACCCCTCTCTCATATTTCACCGACCGTGTGGCGCGCAGCCGCAACTCTGTCACGATCACAAGGTGCACGCACCACTTTGGGCTGCTACCCTGGGTAAGATGATGGAAGTGAGCTCGGAAGCGGCGACCCACTTCTGCAAGTTCACCAATTCCGTTAACATCATCGACCGCTTCTTCTGCTCGGCCACGGGTTGGATGATGTGCCAGCTTATGGCAGATGCCGCCACTGTCGACAGTCCCGAGCTCCTCAGCGCCAAGGGCGTTTCCGACCATGCCGCTCTCTCTGTCTCTCTTCGGCTTCGGGGGGCCAGGCCGGCTGCAGAAAGGCCGATCCCAAAGCACATCTTCACTTCCGTGCCGTTCCAGCGAAGGCTCCAGGGCATGCTCGCGGATGGGGAGGACGACCTGCTGCGATTGAGCCCACCTATTGCCACTGAGCATTGCAAATTCATGATGAAAGAGGCCGCTCGGGAGGCCCGCAACATCCTCCTTCTTATCGCTCCTGACTCTTGGTACGCTGCAGCTGGTTGCACGTGGGATTGCCCGCGCGGTCTGGCGGCAGGACGTCGGTCTCGCCTCCAAGCTCGTCGAGACCTCCCAGCACGCCGCCGACGCGCTGGTCATCGAGGGCGCCGAGGTCTCGCTGCGCCATGCCCCGACCTTCGAGCAGTGGGCCGACGGAGTTCATCGGCTGGTCTGCGAAAAAGAAATCACTGCTGCTGCCTCTGCTCGGGCCCCCGAGGGGCCCCCATCGGCTTGGAGGCCTTGTTCGGCCACGCTTCCGAGAGCTCTCGAGAGGAAGGCCTCCATCTGGGCCCCTTTCTCCAAGCGATTGGTCCTGTCGGTGACCATCGCTCCTGAAGACCCTGTCACGGACACATACGAGCGCACGGCGGCCCTCGAGGCCTACTGGAAACCTGTATTCTCCAGGAAAATACCCCAGCCTGTCCTGGCCCAGAAGTACATCGATTGGCTCCTCACCAAGGCCTCCGGCATCGTGATTCAGAGCCCGTTGACCCCTATGTTCAGGAAGACCCTCATGCGCGCGCGACATTCTGCCCCTGGAGTGGATGGCATACCTTATGCTGCCTGGCTCGCATGCGACTTTGGGGCCCAGCATCTGGCCAGGATGTTCGGCTGGCTCTGTCAGGGACAACAACTGTTCGCCTCCGCCAGCGTCACCCTCCAGGCCTTCCCCCCGAAGGGCTCCGACCCAGATGATCCGCCGTCGGGGACTTGTTCTCGCGCTCCTGACAAAATCCGTGTCTTGGGATTGAGGAATACGGACGTCAAGATCCTGAGCTCGGTCATGAATCGGATCATGGAGCCCGTGGTGCAGGCTGTTGCCCCGGCTTCCCAGCGTGGCTTTATTCGTGGACGTAATTTCTGTCACAACGAACGTTTTAGAGCTCGATATACACGCTCGCCTCGCCCCCCAGCATCCTCTCGCCGAGCGTCGTTCACCCGTCCTCGTCGGTTTCGATCGCGGGCAGGCCTCCCCGAGCTTGTCCCAGTCCTTCCTGCTCCAGCTCTTGGGGCCCCTGGGCCTCCCCGTGGAGATCTTGGCCTTTGCGACGTGGATGTATGCAGCTGCTGAAGGGGTGATCAACGATGGGCGGCAAATTGTCATTATATGTTGGATGCGCTCGGGCATTATCCAAGGGCGCGGGCTCTCGGGATCTCTGCGCGCCCTCGCCTCCCCCCCGATGCTCGCCGATTTAGAACACTGTGTAGCGCCGTTCTCTGGGGATATGTCGTGCGTGCGCGGGTGGCCTGGGCGCTGTCCTCTATGAGATGGCCTCTTTACGGGTTCTTGTTCGGGCCCTCGGGGCCATGGAAAAGCTGGCGGGCCTCAAGATTAAGATCAGCAAGTGCACCCTGGCCCCCCTCGTCGCCAACATGACTGACGCCCTGAGGACCATGACTAAAGCGCAGCTAGCTTCGATTGCTGGGGCTTGGGCTGACTTTACTATTGATGGTTGGCTTCTTTACCTTGGGATGATCTTGGGTCCTGATGCCACCGTGGAGCTCAACTGGGAAGGCCCCCCCCAGAAAGCCCGCTCTCGGTCTCGGATGCTGGGCCGCGGGATCGCGTCGGTTAGCGCCAACTGCATCCTTTACCGCGCTCGAGTCTACCCTTGCCTCGCCTACGTTGCCCAATTCCTCCCCATGCCTGGCTGGTTCTTACCCATTGAACGAGGTGCTCTTGCCCAAGTGCTACGTTCTCCCTTGGGTCTCTTCTCTAATGAGTCGATCCTGGAACTACCGGTCTGGGGTGGGCCCTCGGCCCCATCCTGGTCTGCTCAAGCAACGGCTGTTCACCTACGCGCTGCCGTGCATACATTCCGGGGATATGAGGCGCACCTGAGTCTTCTGCGATGGACTGCGACGACATGGCACAAAGAGGTTCTGGATGGGAAATTCGATGAGGTTGCCCTCGTTTCCCTGGATCGTTCGCGCGTTTACCCGTCTTTCTGGCGCTCTCCAGCTTTTTCCGAGCTTCTTGAACATGTCCAGGTGAGCTCCCAGGAACCACTTCTGGTGGATGCCCGCTCAGCTATCCAAGTGGGGAGTATGGCCACCTCGCGTCGTTCGCGGCTACAGCGCGCTGCGGCTCGTTCTCTCGGGCAAGCGATGTGTGCACACAGGCCGCTCCAAGCTCTGTTAATCCGCAACCTCACCCCGCTCTTCGTGGGCTACTGCCCCTTTCTGGATCAGATCCATTGGTCAGATATACAAGAACTCCTTCGGCTCGTCCCTCAGAGCTGGGCCATGGCTGCGCTGCGTACATGGGGAAATGGGTGGTTGACGCCCTATCGTATTCTTCACCCACGAGGGAAGCTCAAGTGCAGATTCGGGTGTCAAAAACCTGACAGGCTACGACACTATGCTCGATGCCCCATCTTATATCATACGGCTTGCCGTGGTATGCAGCGTCCCTTGCCTAGACCTCTAGCTGAGCGTTTGGGGCTATCTTTGCCTCATCCAGACCATCTCGAGATCATGTATGTCATGTACCAGACGTTCAAACTTGCGCGCCAGGGCACACAGGTCGCAACGCCAGGACAGCTGCGGGGATATGTGAGTGCTGCTAGACGCTCTCTGAGGCTAGCTCGACCCTCTGATCGACTGCGTCGGTGGGTACCCCCACCCGAAGTCCAGGCCCTGCGTTATCAGCCAACCCAGGCCGTTGGGCGGCCCTCCTCGCCCTCCACGGAGACTGACGACAGCATGTCCTCAGATGCTTCTGATCCCCCATCTGATGGCCCTTCCCCTGCCCCCTGGCCGTTGACGCCTCGACGATGCCATGGGCCCTCTCGCCCCAGCCCTGGTCTTCCCACCCCATCTCGCGATGACACAATGCACAGCCACTCTCCGCCCGCGGGCGCAACGGCGGTGCAGAGCGATCCCGTGGCTGCAACGAGTGCTGGGCGGAGGCATGCCCCAAGTGATGGTTGGGTGCGTGAGAGGAATGGCGAGGATCATACAGCAGTATCCTGCAGCACTTTGGCTCTTGCCCAGGGCGTGCATTCAAGTGTGGCCGCCCCTCCATATCCTCTCATTGAATCTTTGGCATGTGGCGACACGACAGGGCCGGCGGCCACGATTGCGTTGGCGCCGCCTTCTTCTCCCACGTCTGCGCGCACGCCGCAGAGGGCGACTCCTGGCTCTTCGACCGCGTCGACGCCTCCATCTTCGCGCGGATCTCCAGTGACGCCACCGTCGCCAATTGCACTGTCGACTCCTATTACGCGCGGGGCTTCGGTAACGCCGACTACGCCAGCGTCGTTTGCGACTGGCTCTTCCTTGCCCTCGTCGCCGCCTCGAGTTACATCGCAAATCCCGTTGTCGTGTTCGGGCTCACCGTTGCCTAGTGTCGGATGCCTCGCCTTCCCCCGAGCGGGGTCTGGTGTTAGAACGCAAGTCCCGTTGTCGTGTTCGGGCATCACGTCGCCACGCATCGGTCCTCCTGGAGTGGACCTCCGAGCGGCTGGCGTTAGAGCGCAAGTCCCGTTGTCGTGTTCGGGCTCGTCGTCGCCTCTTATGCTTTGCCGAGGGACGGCGCGTCTGTCCGAGGGCGTTAGAACGCAAGTCCCGATGTTATGCTCGGGCTCGCCGTCGCCACTTGCCGAACGCAATCCCGCTGTGGCGCCCCCCTCGGGTGGGTGGACTTCGGCGGCGCCGTCCTCATCGCGGGCTCCAATGGCGACGTCCTCTCCGCCGACTTCATCGGCGGGCCCTGATGCCTGCATGCGCTGCCCCTCCCCCCCCGCCCTGCCCCGCACCTTGCCTCGCCGCGACATCTTTTCCACCGTCCCTCTCTGGACCCTTGTTTCTCCGCCTGAACCCGTCGCTGGCCAAGCGACGCCTTCTTCCCCTGGTCCTTCGCTCCCGAGTCCTGCTCGTGCCCATGCGTGCTCCCCTCCTGCTTCCCCCTCTGGGGTCTTGTCGACCACTCCATGTGCGCCTCCCTGTCATTCGCTCCACGCCACCGCTCGCTATCGCTCCTCGCTTCCGCTGTCGCACGTCGCCTCCGCTTTCTATAGCGTCGAGAAGAGCCATTGGCCGTTGGGTCGATAGGCTGGCAGCTTGTGGAGGATGAACCTCCCCCTGTACGCTCGTCTCCTTCTTCTGATTCTCCTCCCGCCAAGGAGTGCAAACACAGCGAATCGTACGTAGTGGTGCCGCGCGCTTGTGCACTCAGCGTGCTGAACGCTCGTGTACACGGTGCGTGCGTCATGTATCACAGTAGTGTGACACTCCTTCGATGCTGCTCAGCTGTTCGCAGCGCGCCCAAAGGGAGGGCGGCCTTTTGGGAAGGCGGCGGGTTTCTGTAAAGGCAGGGCCGCATTTCACCAGGCCGTGGGCCCCTCTGCGAAACCCCTTGCCTTCTGAGGAGCCCCCCCCCCGCCCTCTTGGAAACCGCCCCCCGCGCGCCGCCCCGCTGCGCGCGCCGGCCGCCCGCCCGCGTCCCCAGGGAGCAGCGCAGGGCTGCATCGGCGTTCACCCCTCTCGTCCGGGGGTGCGGATCTGGTTCGCGATATCCGGTCGCTTGGCCCGCAGTGCGAATGGCACGCGCGCGAGCTGACGGGGGCAGCAGCGAAGCATGTGGATGCTACTGCGGACCAGGGTTTAAGCAGGCGGCGCGCGCGTGACTGCCGTATTTGGCGACCACGCTGTCCACGCTCCCTCTTCGGCGTCCTTGCTTTCTCTCCCGTCTCGTTCGCGGCTGGTGCTTAGCATGGTGGGACCCCTTGTCCTTCAGTGGGGAGGCTGGCAAGCTCCGCCATTAGCGCAGTGGTTGTCGTCCTTACAAGTGTGGATGTTGCGACGGAAAGGAACATACTAATCGGCCCAAAGAATCAATTATCGCATGAGCTTGCCTATGGCAGGCCGGCTCGTGTAGCGATGCCAGTCTGCCTGGCGGTCTCCTGCTTCACGCCGTTGTGCCAGTCACGCCGCCATGTGATTCGGTGATCGCGTGTTCCCCATCTCCTCGCCGCCCGAAGAAAAAATCAGCCCAAGGAGCAGCGGGGCGGCTGGGGGGCCTGGCCCGCCCGCGCGGCAGCCGCGCCCGCGGGCCCCAGCGGCCGCGCCGGCGTGGGCGGCAGCGGCCCCGCCGCAGCAGGCGCGGCCGCGGGCCTCAGCGGCACCTACGTGGACGACTGGGGCAGGGAGCAGGCCCGCCCGCCGACGGCGGCGGCCCGCGGCGACGGCAGTGGCGGCGGCGGCGGAGACAGCCCGCGGCGGTGGCGGCCCGCGGCGACGGCCCGGACGTCCTCCTCCTCCTCCTCTTCCTCCTCCTCCTCCTCCTCCTACTCCTCCTCCTCTTCCTCCTTGTCCTACTCCTCCTCCTCCTCCTCCTCCTCCTCCTCCTCCTCCTCCTCCTCCTCCTCCTCCTCCTCCTCCGCCTCCCAGAGCAAGCCTGGCGGTTTGGGACGTTGTCTGTGCTGTGGCTCCTGGAGATTCCCAGGCCCTGGGGCGTCTTGCAACCGCCGCACTTCGTCGCGAGCGCTCGGGGAGCCCAGGATCAATCCCGAGCGGCCCTGCCGCTTTGCCCCTTATAATCCCCCTCCCTCCGAGAACGAAAGCGAGAGCGAGAAAGCGCGCTCGTGTCCGGCTGGGGGCTGACCCGCGAGGGGTGGAGCGCAGGGGCCGCAGCCCGCACGTGATCCCGTATGTCGTGAAATCCTTCTCCGAAGCCTCCCGATTTCCGCAAAAGTCCGGCCTTGATTCCTGAAATTTTGCGTCCGTGAGAAGATTCGGAACAACGTCTGGTCGCCGGCCTCTGGGTCTACCTTGTGGTCGAGGCAGATTCCGCTTTGCCGTGTGCCGCGGCTCTCACTCACCAACAAATCGCGCCCACCTTTCTCTGTCCGGCTCTCGCACACGCTCTGCCCACTTCCATTGCGATCTTCGTTGCGCGACTGTCAACACATCAAAATGCATATGTACTGTTCCCTTTTCATCCTGACCCCGCTCCCTCTCCACCCCTTCCCCCTCCCCCATTCATTCCTCCCTCCCCTACCCCGTCTGTGTGTGTTGTCTCTGGCGCCAGTTCTCTGTAATGCCCTCCCTGCCTCCATCCCCTGCATCCTCTTCTCTCCTCTTGGCCCCCTCCCCCTCCCCTCAGCCTCCCCTCGCCTTCTCTGTCCCCTCCCTACCCTCACACTTTTCGCCCCCTCCCCAGGGCACCTTCACCTTCAGCGACGGCGTGGTGAACGCCACATTCCCGCCGCAGACGGGCTACGAGCCAGAAGCTGGGACGTTCGATGGGCTCAACATCCACATCTTCGGGATGCACGGCACGTGCAGGGACGGCCAGATCACGTGGCCCAAGAACGGCAAGCGGTGGACGAGGCGGGACCCCGGCAGGGCGGGCGACGGTTGGCAGGCATCATCCTCGGGCGCAGGTGCGCAGCCTGCCGTGGCTCGCGACTGGGACCCGGAGGAGGACAGGCGGAGGCTCGAAGAAGAGCACAAAAGCACTAGCACAAGTTGTCGGAGGTCCGTGCGGACCTCCGACAATCTATGCGTATGGCATTGTCTCTTCTTCTCAAGGCTCAACGAGAAGAAGATGAGGGCTTTCACGTCGTGCCAGGAGGAGAACAGAGAAAAGGGCGAGCTGCCTGGCCCCAGCATGCAGGATGAGGAGGCGCAGCTCTTCTCACGGGAGGCCATGGGCTTTGGAGCGGGGATCGATTTCGATTTGTATGACCAGGTCCCTGCTGACATCACTGGGCCGGCTTCCGAGAATATACCACAATTGGCGTCATTTGACCAGCTCTACCAGATAGCTGGTGATCTCATACCGCAAGCGCTGATGGATAACATCAGGCGGTGCCAATTCACCCGGCCGACCCCCGTGCAGAAGTTCGCAATGCCCGCTGGGGTCGCGGGTCGCGACGTCATGTGTTGCGCACAAACAGGAAGCGGGAAAACAGTTGCTTTCTTGGTGCCCGTAATGGCAGGCATGATGAGACAGCATCGTGGAACCGCCTCGCTCCAGAAACCTTTCGAGGGTCCCTGCACTCCGGATACGCTGATTCTGTCACCAACCCGCGAGCTCTGCCTTCAGATCTTCGGCCAGGCTCTCAAGTTCTGCCACGGCACGAGCTTCCGGTGCACCCGAGTGTACGGCAAAGAGCACGGCAAGGTGCAGGTGCAGGACCTCGCCAGGGGGGCCGACCTTTTGGTGGCGACTCCCGGTCGCTTATGGGACTGGGTCGATTGCGGCGTGATCAGCGTTAAGGAGGTGAATTCTTTGGTGCTCGACGAGGCCGATCGGATGCTTGAGATGCAGATGGAGTCCAATATCCGAGAGGTGGTAGAGAAGTATGGCATGCCATCGAAGGAACACAGGCAGACTATGATGTTCTCTGCCACGTTCCCAGAGCGTTGCCAGAAATTGGCGGCCGACTACATGTATGAGTACATTTGGGTTGGGGTGGGCGTCATAGGAGGCGCCTCGAACACGGTGACCCAGCATGTAGAGCGAGTCGCCCCCGAGGACAAGTTCGAGCGCCTGACGGACTACCTCTACCACTTCCTGGAGAACCGGAGGAACCACGAGCGGCTCATTGTGTTCACGAACTCCAAAGAACAGGCGAAGGGCCTCGACGAGCAGTTGTTCAATTCGAACTTTGACACGGGCGCACTACATGGGGACCTCGAGCAGAAAGAGCGCGAGGACAACCTGGCCAAGTTCCGAAGCGGCGACATTGATGTGTTGATCGCCACGGACCTCGCGTCCCGCGGCCTCGACATCCATGGTGTCAGTCATGTGGTCAACTTTGATTTGCCCCATGGAGACAGCGCAAAGGACAAGTACGTGCAGCGCATTGGCCGCACCGGCCGTATTGGGCACCACGGCAACGCCGTCACTTTCTTGGCAGTTGGGAAGGCAGGGTCTTTTTCGATCCTGTCGATCCGATTCGAGATCGATTCTGGCCCGCCCGAGGCTCGCATGACTCCGTTGTGCGTCCTGGCGCAGCCGATCCAACTCGATTTCGACCCCGTGCCGATGCAGTCCGATCCGTCGCACTCCGACCCGATGTCCCGGTTCGATGTTGATTGATCTTGGAAGGATGGTAAGTTCTTAGATGACGAGTCCATGCTCATCGAGCTTCCGAAGATCATGGCGGCTGGCGGATCGGAGAGCAACGTGCCCGATTGGTTGGCCCAGAAAGCGACAGAGCTCGAGGCGGAGCACAAGGCGTGGAGCGTCAGGAAGGCGTGGAAGCCGACCTGGGACCGGAGGGACGCGAGAGAGTCGCCCGGCTGGCAGGACAGGAGGAGGAGGAGGCGGAGGACGAGGAGGAGGAGGAGGAGGAGGAGGAGGAGGAGGAGGAGCCCAGGACTTCGACGACGTGACTTTTCCCAACGCGGCACGTTAAGAATGGATCTGGGACGAGAAATGTTCCCCAGGGAATGGGCCAGGACCTCTGTGGCCGCGGATTGGAAGAGCACACCTTGCTGCATGTTTGGGAAGGACGAGGGGCAGGAGGACGAGGAGGAATGAATGAATGCATGCCCTTCATGGTCCCTGTGTCTCTCTACCCTGCTTGACTGTGCTCTGCAGCGTGCGCTAGTGTATCGAACGGACGAACACGTGCAAACAATCGGCTGGAGTTCGGCCTAATCGACTAAATATCTACAAGGCCAACGAACCCACCGACTCAACACTCCGAACCTCCTGCACGGCCTATGGAGCCCAGGAGGCCAAAGCAGGGCAAGGGCACCGCTACGTGTCCGAGCCTGCTCGGGCGTACGATATTATCTCCCACGCACGTTCTGTACGCGAGCGAACCGATCGATGTACACTATTTCCCGCGGAGGAGGAGGAGGAGGAGGAGGAGGAGGAGGAGAGGAAGAAAAAGCAGGTGCGGCAGCAAAAGAGGCGGCCTCAGCATCTACTCTCTGAGAACGCTCAGCTGCATCCAGTAGAAGTCGAAGTGATCCTCCAGCTGCGGATGAGCTCGAAACTTCCGTTGAATACCCAACATTCAAGGATGAGCTCGAAGATGCAGCCATAGACTGAGACCCATCCCTCAACACATGGCTTGAAGAGGCAGCCCTAGACGGTGTAGACTGAGATCCATCATTCAATACATAGCTCGAAGATGCAGCCGAAAAAATTGTCCGATTCATTCTCTCAGTAGATGAGGAGCTTATCGATACCGCTCTTCGTGGGTACGACTCTCGCCTAGCTCCTCGAGGACCTGCTGCACCCGACGCGCGATATCCGACGCTGGTGCCATACCGTACTTCATCACTCCGCCCTGGTTGCCAAGAATCGTCCGTGCGTGCTCCCACGCCGTCCACGCGGTCGACTGGCGATTGACTTTGATCTCGATCTTCGCGTAGTCCCGCGCGTATGTCTTCTTCACACGGCAGTATGGAATGTCCTTTTGCAAGGCCTGATGCATGGCCTGCATGCCCTTGCCCTTGATTGTAGTGGGCCGTGTACCGCTCGAAGTCCGCCTTCGCCTGTCCGTTGATCGATCCAGCCTGGGCCTCCGCTTTGTTCATGATAGCAAGAAATCAGGAGGGGAAAAAACACAGACACAATTAATCCTCGATTCCCCAGAAAATATGAGAAAATATGGGCATTGGGGGGAAGACTAAAACCCAGAAAATATGAGAAAATATGGGGAATATTTTTATTTGTGTGTATTTATTTGTGTGTCCTGGGGCCCCTTCAAGAAAGATCGATGTGTGCGGCAGACCCAGCTGGTTCTCGCGGTCCTCCTTCGCGATGTCAGCAGCCCGTTGAGCGTCCCCGCGGCCCGCCTCCAAGCCGGCCTGCACCACCTCGATCGCCAGTGGGCATATGCACACCTCCAAGTCCGATGCTGCTCGTGCCACTCGTGCTTGATACTCTGCTGCCAGTCCCAGCTTCGCGATGAGAATCATCATTTCCTTGATTGCCTTGAGGTTGTCTTTGTTGGCCTCCTTGAGAGCCTGTCCGAGGGGCTCTTCTCGGCGCTGCCGTTGGGCTGGGGGGAGGCCGAGCTCGAGCGGCATGGCCTCGGGGTGCTCTGACTGGGAGGTGTCCGAATCGAGCAGCCAACTCAGGGATGACCTCGAGCCCCGAACGAGCTACAGAGAGGTGAATATGCCGAGGACCGTGAACATGTGACCGAACATGGATGTGATACAGCGCCAGTGACGTAAAATATTGCTCGCATAACGGACGTGTGATATCTCCTTCATCTTGTACATGTCGAGGTGTGATTGCATGATCAGTAAGACATTTGTTCTGAATGAATGCATGGCGTACATGAGAGACGGCACAGTCGCGACTATTGAATACTCATGAACACCATGGACACATGTTGCTTTGAACGAACTTTTCCACGTGTACATCGCCGTTTTGACGCCGTGTGCGAGACTGGTGGGCTCGAAGGGCTCTGAGGGTCTCAAAGGTCTCTCCGCATTCTTGTCCATTAGCCAGTAGATCTGTACATCGATAAGCACGAGGATGGGGGGGGTCATCTTCGGGGACCTGTGGGGCCTGGAAGTATCCTGGAGGAGGCACAGCGACAGTAATGTACTTACTCCTGAGCTCCGAAACGTCGATCTGGAGAAAATGAACTACCAAATCCTCATCCACCAGGAGCCTCTGCGGGGCACCCTCATACCGTTCAACGAAAAAAAGGCCCCCTCCTCCAAGTCGGCAAGTGAGTCCATATCCTCAATCATTTGCTTCACAAAGAAACTAGAAGAGCCGTGCCTATTGTGGTCCAATGGGGTCTGCTCGAAGGACATCTGCGGGGCCAGGAGGATGGTAAGGAGTTGTTCGTTTTTTTTTTTTCTGGGGCCCTGAGCATTGCCTGGTACCACCTGAGTCTTTGAATCCTGAGCTCCAGCGAGACTGGTGCAACTCGAAGCAAATTCAAAACTCGATCAGAATTAAGACTGGTCTTCCGCTCGGTACCGTCTGGAAGGATGGTGGTCTTCGTGGCCGCGCCCTGCATCAACTTGCGGCAATACCACACTTGTGTTCTATCTAGCTTAGCCTCGTCATCTTTCCTGAAAGGAAGCCCCAATACACATGACATCAAGCACGACATACACATCATTCTGAAAAGCGTCAGCTTTAAATCTCTGCACACACTACAAAACCAGAACTTGTGGAACATGTACCAGTTCTTTTTGCAAGCCTGTATGCGCCTGTTGAGCTCCACACCGGTGTAGCCCCGATAGTGAAGCATCGGTCCCAGATATCTAGCCTCGCGTAGAACCCGCCCAGGCATCCATTGATCCGCGTACGTGCGTCTCTGAATGCTCCCCGAGTTCTTGCCCATGAGAAAAGCGGTAGCCTCCAGCTTCTTCTCATTCTGTGCGCAACCGATATGCATGAGATGTTCCGACAGCGAGTCGATGCATTGAGAAGTTGAGTTCCGCATCTGGGCGAACCCGCTCACACAGATGAGGCGCCTGACGTCATCTACGAATCTAAAAATAGAGCAGTCGACGATGTTGCCTCTAACAATAGATGCTACCTGCAGCCTCGGGTCACGCGTATCATTGCTCCATTCGTCAATAGCGGCCCCATATGCTTTCTCAAAAAGACCAGTGCCCAATGAGCTGCCCTGCGTCACTCCTTCGCCGTGATGAAAGTTGATCCTGCCGTCGATCGCGTCGTACTCTGTAACACAGCTGCCAATGCGTTCATGAAATAACTTGGCGTCTCTCTCTGAGTTGGTGGGGAAGATTATGCTGTCCTGCTGCACGCAGTTAAACGCGTTGATCGCATCGAAGTTGAGAGCGATGTGAGATTGCTTGGCCATTCGTAATCTGTCCATCATAACTGTCGTTGCTGCAATCGCTCCCTCGCATCGTCGTCCAGGGATGTGATATGCATGTGGGTAAATGGTATCATCTGGCTGATTCTGGAAGAGGCCGCGATAGAAAGCGTTGCTATATGTGCCATATCCATGCACCCATCGCGTGTCCTCGATATCTTTGGGAATGCAGAAACACTTATCCCGATGCCACTGCTGCGGAGCTTTGCCATTCGCTCGAACTTTCTGATGAAAAAGTAACAATCGATCATATATGCACTGCAACTGCTCTGTCGGGGTGTCCATACCTATTCCATGTCTAGCAATGATACCACAAGGAGGAGAAAGACAAATCCGCCATACTTCCGAAGGTAGGTCCCAGTCAGGTGCAGCTCGTCGGTTTTTTGCCTTGCCCAAAGCACGACTTGTACGAAGAAGATCACGCTGTGCTTCTGGTCGCACGTCCTCCGATGGAGGTGAGCATACTCGCTGATATTGAATGAGAAGCATCGCATCAGTGATCCTGCGCGCGCCCCAACCTTTCTGAGCACCTGGCCTGGGGAAACGGTCTTCTGCTTCAGCGCATGTGAGTCTAAGGGTGATAGGTCGTCCGCATCGCCGTCGTTTAGGTCCTAATCTTGTTCCAGTAATTTGCCGTGCCAACAGATGTGCTTCTGCGTGTCGTTTCTCATTCCATGCCTGAGTACATGCTTCAATGAGTGCCAATTGTCGATATGCTTGTGCAGTCTTGATATGAGATGTAACCATACGACTTGATCTTATGAGTTGAATTGCCACACGCCATCCACGTAGAAGATCTCGCGTCTGGAGGGATTGTGCATTTCTCTCTGCACCGATGCCCAATAATCGAAAAGTCCATCGAATGGGTCCGTACTCGCCATGCCGCCATCGTTGAACATCCTCCTGCCGCAGGCCACGTCGTTCGCGAAGAAGTTGAAGTTTGGTTCGCTGTTTCTCTCGCAGTGCGGTATGTGGTGTAGGTGTGAAATACTTCTTGTGCAATCTGCTGAAGTCCATCAATGAGAAACTGCCACGCACTGGTAACCGAGCCTGTCTCCATAAGCTGCTGCCGCTCATCTTCGGAATTCTGACACCATTGGGTGATGTCCGCGTAAATGAGGTCCCTGTGCGCGCCGTGCGTCATCTCTTGCATTAATCGTTTTCGGTTCCATCTTAGAAGATTATGGTTCCATCATGATGTAGCTGAATATCGATGTTGATTTGAACTGCTCGATGGTCCGCCCGTCGCAGGCCCTGAATGAGTTGGAGTCTGTCTCCAGCCCGATCCAGGACAAAAGCTGAATGTACAGTGCCTGACGTGAGATATCCATGCGGCGCACATATGTAATCGATTCGATGGTGAGATTGAGTGCCTAAATTTTAATGAATCGGACCAGCGCCTTGAGGAAAGAAGGCATTTGTAGCACACATGTTGAAGTCAATCCAGAACTGTCTCAAATAACTGCCATTCGTGTTCGTGGGCTCGCGAAAATGAGGTCCAATAGCACAACAATCGCCTGGACAAGGGACGTCCTGCGGTCCTGCTAAAGTTCCGACTCTGCCATTGCCGTCCATCATGATAATGGGTAACGTACGTGCGGGAAGCCCCGCCATGATCTGAGATATCCATGTCAATGGTTTCTGAAAAAAAGGCGACTTGATCTTATGGTTGCCGATGTTCTCATGCGGAAAATATAGCGATATCCATGCGACATCGATGTCAGCCTTCTTAGTTCGTACACATATGCCACGTCCCTGCAAGCTTGGGTCCTTCGGGACCTTGATTTCTTTGATCGAAGATGCCTGAAATAGATGTCGATGAAAACCAAATGCCAACTCCAGCATGCTTGTTCGATCTTCGCCCATATCCTGCCGAAAAGAAAATGTGGTCTCCGACGGTCCGCTGTTCGATAGGAAGGTCATGTCCTGGAAGTCTGGTGTCTTGCAATCCAACCACCGCCTTGTGTCTGAATTCATGAAAGATGTCGTCCATCCGCCCGCAGCTGAGCACTGACATCGGGTTGTAACTGACTCTTGCGCCGCATTTGCATAGATACGAGAAGCAGCTCTCATCGCGCCCGAGCAGGAGAAAGCATTGGCCCCCCCGATTTCTTGTGTGGAAGCACTGAGACGGAAGAATCGTGCCGCAGCCCTTTGCAATCACCTCGGGCCCGCGGGCTAGGACGAGGAGGAGGGGCAGGAGGAAGAGGAGGCGGAGCAGGAGGAGGAGGAGGAGGAGGAGCTGGAGGAAGAGGGGCAGGAGGAGGAGGAAGAGGCGAGAGAGAGTCGCGGCGTCGGGCAGGGCAGGAGGGGCGAGATGCACAGAGGGAGTGATGGAGGAAAAGGAGCAGGCAGGACGAACCCCAAATAGATACTAACCTGGGTTTATACTGTTCCAGGGATCTTGACCAGGGTTCATAAGGTCTCCCCTGGAACATTATGAATCTGGGTTTTAGTGTTCTGGGAACATTGACTGGGGTTCATAATGTTTTCCCCGGAGCATTATCAACCCTGGCTTATATCTTTCTGGGGATATGGATCTCAAAAAATACATTAACCTGGGTTTATAATGTTCCGGGATTATTGACCCCGGCTTAGTATGTCCCGGAAATCATGAACCCCGTATTGGTAATTCTGGAATGATAATAACTAGCATTTTCTCCCCAACCCTTGGTTCTTCACCAGGTTTTTCACGTCGGAATATTGACCCGGTTCATTATCTCCAGGAGATAGTAACCCTGGGTTTACCATGTTCCAGACATGTTGACCCCAGGTTCATTATTAAGGAATGATAATGATTCACCCTGGGGGGGGGCCGTTGGAGAGTAATGACCAGACTGAAATCAACCCTGGTTCATAGTGTTGGAATAATGATCTTCGGTTGATTATTCCAGAAAGATGATGATTCAGCCGGGGGGGGGGGCTCAGCGTGACCCATGCACAGAACAGTAAACCATACGGTATCATCTAAACATAATGAACCTGAGCTTATCCTTTTTTGATAATGCGACGAGGATTTCGCAGGTGGCCTCGGAGCAGGAGGAGAGCGCGCCAGAGAGAGAGAGAGACAGTCAAGCAGTGGCGAAACGCCCTGGCTTGCCTATAGGCCCACCAAAGAATGTTCAAGTGTGGTTTGCACGAGATATTCTTGGAACAGTTCTGGCTGAGACTGTCTTGAATTAGTAGCTCGGGTTTATGTTTCAAGAGCATTGTTTTTGTTATTCGAACACTCTTGGGTTCTCAGAATAACCTGTGGTTGGCCTGTAGGAATGCCGGGACGGTCGGTCCTTGCTCAAGAGAGAGAGAGAGAGAGAACAACAAAAAGAGAGAGAGAGAGAGAGAAAGAGAGAAAGTCGCGGCGGCCGGCAGGAGTGGAGCGGCACGAACGGTAGTGGGCCGCGCAACGAGGGCGCCAATTTTGCCTTCGAGAGCCTCGAGCGCAGCTACCAGGCTCAACGCCGCGTGGCCACCGCAAGAGGGCACGTAGGACCAGGAACAAGAAGGCGACCCCAGAAGAGCCCATACTGTATGCTCGCGCGTGGAGTGCAATTCCTTGCATGGGCGCCTAAGGGCAATGTATGCTAGCGGCATGCATGCCGCGCGCATGCACACACACTATGCGTGAACGTTTACTCTGACATGCACACGGCAGTGTTTACTTTGGTGTACCAGCGTGTAGGTCAGCGTTACCTTGAGCATTTGGGTGGCCTGTCGCAGCTGCGCCTGGGACTAGCCTTAGCGTTGCCTTAGGTTAGTGTTAGCAGCATGTTGGGATGCAGCTCCAGATGGAGACGTGTGGCCTGCCCCGACTCTGCTTGAATGAAGACTTAGCACCACGTTATCTAGCTTTGGTTTGGTTGACGTCCAGCACCCATGAACGAATCCGTGTTTGTGTTAAGCTTAGGTTTGCGCACATCGTGCTACATTTTACCATACCAGGCCTCATACCATGTCTGCTACAGCGTAGGTGTGTACTGCGGTTTAGTTGGTGTGCGTGTGCGTGTGTGTGTGTGTGTGTGTGTGTGTGCTGCGCCTGGCTTAGCGCGTGTATTCAACCGCGTGTTGCAGAGCTTCATCCGCACGATCTGCAGATTGAGTAGCACACGCCGTAAGAAAGCGCGCTCCAAGCACTTCACTTAGGGGGACATGTCGGCGACTCTGCTTAGGAAACATATCCTAACCGAAGCAGAGCCTCGAAGTGCCAGCTTCGATCGTGCGCTTTCATGGCAAGGGTTTGTCTGATTGTTCCTGGGCGACCTAACCCTTTGGGTGGCGACCTCTCCCTGCCCCACTAGCCCCTCCCTCATCTTCCTCCTGCTTCTTTCTCGTTACCCTCTCCTCTTCATTCCCAATATTCGTCCCCTCACTGATCATACTCCGTTTCCGTCATTTCCGCTTGCCAGACTATAGCTAGATGGTCAGAGCGTCCATTGCCTGGCCCCATTTCCTTCTCATCCCTCCGTCCAATTCCTTTCTTCCTGCCTCCCTCCATCCCACCTCCTCCTTCCATTCTCCTTCACCGTCCCTCCTGCCCCAACACCTTGGCGCTCTCGCACGCGGGAGCGAGCGCGCGCGGAGGCGGAGGAGGAGGAGGAGGAGGAGGAGGAGGAGGAGGAGGAGGAGGAGGAGGAGGAGGAGGAGGAGGAGAGGAGGAGAGGAGGAGAGGAGGAGGAGGAGGAGGAGGAGGAGGAGGGGGAGGAAGGGGAAGGCGGGAGGGAAGGAGGGAGCGGGGAGGGAGGGAGGGAACGAGGCACGGAGAGAAGAGGAGTTTTTTTTGCTAGGAGCTGCAGGCAGCACAAGCATCAGGAAACCTGAGATTGAACGCCTGGTGAAACAGACAGATCACGAGGAGATCCGACCACCCCCACTGCAAGAGGAGGTTGAGGGTGTAGGGGCACTGTGCCCACTGTACCCTTCACCCCAGGAGCTGACTCCGCACCTGTGAGGCAATCCCTTCCTGAGGAGGCGCTGCAGCGAAGTGTACTGCGCCTTGACAAGATCATGTCGACCATATTGGTCGACTTCACACAAGCCCACAAGAAAACCAGGATTCGCAGAGGACGTGTACCTTCCGCAGTTACTACAAAAGCAATACGAGCCTTTCTCCCACAAGTCGTGGGAGGTGTGAAGCATCTTGCCAAGAAATCCCCTGCCTTCGAGACGCCTCGGCGGGTGCGATCCACAGACAGTCCTGAAAAGAGCCTCATCTATGGGCGGAAGCCTTAAAAACGTATCCGAGAGCACAACAGCTCTTGGCCTCCTTCCTCCACCTCCACCAGTCAAGGCCTCCAACTCCCCCGCGGGTCCTTCAACCCCAGCTTCTGCAGCAGGAGGCTCTTGGGCGGGACCAGGGGGGCGGGCGGGGCAGGCAGTCCTCAGGTAGGCCATGACGGATGAGCTGCTGGAGAGGACCAAATTGCCACACCTGAGACAACGCCAGCCCGCACCTATGGCCTGAAAACGGTGGGAGGAGGCTGCCGCTGCCGCCTCGCGCCTCTTAATCCGCCTCTCATCGGGAGGGACTGGCGCGGGCTTGACCTCTCGGAGCGGCACACGAGGACATGAGGCAGCAGCAATTGACAAACTCGCATTGCGGAGAAGAACCGACTCAGCTTTGGCGACGAGGTCGAGAGCTCTCTTGCAAACATCAAGCGCGATCCGGCAAAACTCGCACCTAGAGTCCGCAAGGCCGTCCGCTGCTGAGTTGATGAAGATAGCCCCAGGGGGGACACCTGCAACCAGCCTATGAAACTTAGTCTCAACTTCGGCCAAGTGGGACGGCACATGCTGCAGCTCAAAACTGCCTGAACGCACGTGCAGGAGAGCATACAGTTTATGCCACAAATCCGCGTGCTCTAATTTAAAGTAGTGGTGTTTCCCTTTGCTGAGGGATCGAACATGATTGATGTGATCACACCAGATGAGAAGACCCGCTGAATGGTCGACAGCCCTAACGCACTCGACAATAGCACACAACTCGACCCTCGGCACAGACTGCTTAGGGCTGTCGACCTCACCGGTGCACCCCGAGTCCCAACCTAGGCCATCAAGACCTTCAGGATCCAGGCGTGCAAAGGCCCAAGACACCCGCCGAAGAAGTGAGCTCTTTGGCCAAATGCCCCCTGAGCCATCGACCCCATAAATGCCCCCAGGGAGGTGCGTGCCCTCAGGCCGTCGAATCCAGACATGGTCCTTGGACGAGGGAGGAGGAGGGAGCTCCAACCAAGCAAGGGGGACCAGTCCACGGCACCAGAACACTGGGCAACTACCAACCTCCTGGAGGGCTTCGGGGATCAGCTGGTTGGTGGCCACGACTTCGGGCGGGGGGGGCTGACTGTCTACTTGGAGAGCCCATGCCTCATCATGCGTGTTGCACTGGCAGCTCCAAAATCTATGCAAGCTGGTCTCCAGAGCCGCCTTGCATCTCTGGCAGTCCGGATCCGAGCGGTAGCCTGCCTCGAACCTACGTTGTTCAGTCCAATAGCCTCCACAGGCAATGAAACGGACCATACTCGCCATCGCGCGGTTATCATCGGCTTCCAGCCTGGAGGCAAGGGAGACTACATGCTGCCACCAGACCCCAGCTTCAGAGCCAGCTCCATCAAGGTGCTTCGCCGCTCGCTCCCAAATCGCAGCTTCCACAGAGGCTTCCAAAGCATCAACAAGGCAGGAGGGGGGAGCAAGGCCGGCATCTTGAAGGGCCCATTCGTCACCGTTGGGCTCCACCAAGCTCGTGATCGACGGGCAGCTCCAGCCGAGGTCCAAAATTGAGGCTTGAAAAGCACCTAGGGGCCCCCGAACTAAATTCCAGCCTTTTTTCACACGCTCGAGAGATTCCGACCGCACCGCATCGATACGTGCAGCTTGCTCAGGGGACCGAAAAACTCTAGCGAACCAAGCTCCGACGAGACGCCTGATGTACATTATAGCAGGGTCACGGCTAGAGCCCAGACTGATTCGAATAGCCGTGGTGGCGCAAGAGCCTCTCTGCGGGCACTTACTGCTCAGCCGCGCCTGTCCACGGAGCTGCTTGACCATGCTGGGGGCCAGCCCATTGACTTCAGGGGCCCAGACAGCTTTCGGAAAAGCGTTGGAAAGATACAGCTTCGAGGACTTAGGAGAGGTCCTAACTAGACCAGAAATCTTGAGAGCCGCACGCCTGCCCTCCAAAAATCGGGCTTTCCTAACCTTGACCGACCTGGAGGCGCCCATGGTCGTGTCGTGGCCAAAATCTCGGGCCGCGGTGGCCTGGCCTAGCTGAGGAGCTTCTCCCCCGGCTTCCTCCGCCCAGCCGGCTAGCTTGCGGCGGAGGTTGGCCGAGGAGGCCATCAAATAACACTTCGGGAGCGCTAGCGCACACTTACGTCTGCGAAGGCCCTGAAGAAGAGCACGCAAGACTATCGGAAAAGAAATGCCAATGGAATATTCCGAACCAGGGAGGCGGAAAGAGATGTCGTCCACCAGTTCCCGAAACCTGAGCCCTGGGGCCGAATTGTTAGTAGCCTCCAGGGGCTCATACAAACACGACCGGACCTGGGAGACCGCCTGGCCACACCCCGCCAAGATCCCACCCCCAGGAAGAAGTCCTGGGTGGACTTGCTGCTGGAGCGTCAACATCCTGGGCCCAAGATACACATCCAGGGCCAGGACGAGGAGGCGGAGAGGATAGTGGAGGTCGTGAGAAGCTTGGGCGAGGTCAGGCAAACAGACCAGGCCATAGAACCTGCGCATATCAAGCAAGCCCCCGGCAAGACAGAAACCTCCTAGGAGAGCCAACTCGGTCTCCAGTTCATCGAGCCAGCCCGCATGTTCGGCCGACGAGCCCACAGTCTTGTCCCAGGACCCGTGGGCTTCGTGATCCCAAGCTCCAATCACAGGCTTGCGAATCCTACACAGAATCACGTAACAAAAATTAAGGAGGGCAATAGGGCGCAGGCCTCCGTCCTCCTTGTCCTGGCCAAGGCAGCAATGGCCTCAGGAGGCGCATCCTTGACCAGACGCGGTGGCATCCCATCAACTCCCTTGCCGCGACGGTCAGGCATCGTCTTAAGAGCTGCTAGCACCTGCTGGGACGAAATGGGGTCGGACAAAGGAGACGCTCGAGACGCTACCCTCCAGGTAGCCAGAGCTTCCAAAGCCTCCTTCCGAGAGTGCCTACTCCAAATCTTGCCCCAGGCCTCCGACTCGACTTCCAGCATCTCGCTGGCCGTGGTAGCCGGGTGACCTTGAAAAATGGGTTCCGTTTTCGGCACCTCGGGGCCCACGTTGGGCTTGAGCAGCCTATGGGCCGCCGACGCTGACCCCGCAAGGGCCTCAGACAGCCAGATTTTCCAACGGGCCCGCGCTTCCGAAGCGGCTCGCCTGGCCGCCTTATGAGCCCGCTCCTGGGCGTCCTCCAGGAGTTGCTGAAAACTCGGAGGGTCCAGGGTAGAGAAAGATGTGAGCCATGTGGCCCACCTTCCCAAGGCGGCCGCCTCCCCAGCGTCCCCCGGATCGAGGGCCTCGGGGGGGTCAGGTCACGAAGCCCCCTCACCAGAGCCCAAAACTGGCCAGAATGCTTCTGAAGGGGGGCAGCCGCTTCATTGGGATCACAATCGGGATCGATCAGCCGCATTAAAGGAAGAAGCTGGGCTGAAACAGCCGCCCAGAAACGTGCATGCCGGTCGGCCAGAGGGGGCCCTTCGGAACTCTTGGGAACGATCGGCACCCAACGGATGCGAGGCTGCTGACAGCGGCCGACGTACCGTTCCCAATCAGCGCCTGGGATGCCCTTTTTCCCACAATGCACTAGCTCAAGCGCCAAGGCCCATTCACTGAGCTCTTGGCCGAGCTGCAAGGATACCTTCGGAGTATAGTGCTGTACCAAGGCATCCCTGGCAGCATTGAAATTTGACTGAAAACGGGCCGGCCTCTCACACCGCAGAAGCCTGGCCTGCTCCCGCGCGTCGTCCCAGCCCAAGTCGATAATACTGTCAGGCTTGGCCGCAACGTCCAGGGCACGGGGAACAACCAGCTTCCAGCCATGAATGGATCGAGGACGCGATGCAATCCAATACTGCAGCGCCAAGTGCGTGCCCCAAGGAGCACTCTGGTCCACGCCGACGAACTTGACAGCCTGGGCGAAGCCCGCATTCACGAGGGAATAGCCGATCTTACTCGCGGCTCCTCGCCCCCCAGTGCATGTTACAGAGACGTCTGGGCTGGGCACCTGGACCAACCCGAGCTCGCTGATGAAGCCCGTGGACGCGAGGTCGGGCATTTCCATCTGCCAGTCGCCCACCAGCAGAAACGGCCGCGCAACCTGCGAGAGCCTGGAGCCAATCTCGGAAAAGGGGCTAAGGTTGCGAGTCACACATGTAGACCTCACACCTGAGATCAAGTAGATGGGGACGATCGTCAGGGTCACATGCTTGAGCCTGACCGTGGCGACACACCACCTCGCACACTTGCTGGAGTGCCAACGGCCCGAGGCCTCCAAGAACAGAGAAGACAGTCCAAGGTTCTTCTTAGCCAAAATCAAAACTCCTGCACTGGAGTCGTCAGCTTCCGTGGCGTCGGCCTCTCCACCAACCGAGCACCAGCCTAGTTTGCCCACACACTTGAGCATGTCACGAAATTTGGAGTCACGAGTGCGCGTCTCCACGAACACCGCGGTGTCCGCACGACATTCCTTCAACCATTTCTCAGCCTGGGGACCCCAAGCACTGATGTTGCCATAGACGAGGGCAAGCCCGTCAGGAACAGGCCCCTTTGGCAGCAGCAGCTCCTTCGACCTTGGCCTCGGCACTGGCCGCCCTAGCCTTGGCAGCCTCAAGTGCAGCGGCCTTGCGCTTCTGCATCTCGTCAAGGTCCTCATCACCAGAGGCTGGCACCGGCACTCTGCGCGCCTCGCCCGCACTCTCCTGCGACGCCGGTGGGGCGCCCGCCGCAGGGGCGCGTCCGCCGCCTGCCGCTGCCTGCTCAGAGGAGGCTGGCGCAGCAGGGGCAGCCGGTGGGGCAGCCTCGCCTGCATCTCCGACCTTACGCTTCTTAGATAACATCTCAGTCTGCTTCTTATATTCTGCTTGGGCCTTCCTGGCCTCCTCTAGGATGCTCTCGAAGGCCTGCTTGAGGAGTTTGGCGCAGTTCTGCTTGTGCGAGGTGACCCAACTCTCGAACTGCTCGCGATCATGGTCCGAGAACTCTGGGCCAGAGAGGTCCACCGCCTCCCCAGCATCGAGCTCCAAGGACTCGGGGTCAGCGAGCAAGGCCTCGATGTGGACCACCGACTTGCTCGAGGCGGTAGGCGCCTTCTCCTCAAAGCCTGCAGGCAGCACTTTCTTGGCGTGGCGCTTGGTGGCCTCCTCCAGGTCACGCTGAGCTTGCTGCTCCTTGCGGAGACATTCGTCGACCTTCTGCTGGGCCTCCTGGAGGTACTGCTCCGCCTTGAGCTGCTCGTGCAAGGCCTTGTCGAGCGCCTTGTTGGCCCAGCGCTTGGCAGCCTCCGCAGCCGTGATCTTCGACTCCGGCAAGGCCGGCAACTCGGGCGCCTTCGGAGGAACCGACTCGACTCCAGTATCTTTGAGCAGCGCAGCAGCTTCGCCTGGGGGGAGGAGACCAGCAGCCTTCCTGATGGCCACCGCGCTGGCGTCCTCGACGACGACCACAGGAGATCCTTGACCATTGCCGACTCCTCCGGGTCCGCCAGCGGCAGCGCCTCGCGCGCCCGAGCCTGGCTGCAAAGGCTCACCACACCCAACACAGTAGAGGCGACGTGCAAGAAGACGGTCATAAGTCCAATGGCCGCAAGTGCACACTGTGTAGGCGGAGTTCTTCTTCTTAGATTTGCCCGCCTTGTTACCCGCTGCCGCGACAGACCAGGAGTCTGCCCGACCCCCCCAATCTGCACCACCTGCGGACTGGGGAGGCTGCTTCCACCCCGGAGCTGGCGCCATGGCGGGCACTGATGGCCATCGCAGGGCTTCGTAGGACGAGCGCACAAGCCTGGGACGCCTCGGCAGGCTGACCCAGGCGGACGTGAAATGGTTGCTGAAGAGCACGGGGGCTTTGAGCCCAAGCTGCTGGGATTGAGCCAAAATGGCTACGGACGGAGAGGGGAGAGGAGAGGAGGGGGAGGAGGAGGAGGAGGAGGAGGAGGAGGAGGAGGAGGAGGAGGAGGAGGAGGAGGAGGAGGAGGAGGAGGAGGAGGAGGAGCAGCAGAGGAGGAGAGGAGGAGGAAGGGGGGGGGGGGAGGAGGGGGGAGGGGGAAAGGGATGATCTTCCTCGCCGCTGCAGGGGATGGGACGGACCCTGCGGCACCCATCCCTGCGTTCCTCCCTCCCTCGCATCTCCTCCCTCGCTCCCTCCCTCCTCTCTCCCTCCCTCTTCCTCTCTCCGTCTTGCTCTCCCCTCTTCGCCATCGTCCATCATTCTCTCTTCCCTCCTTTCCTTCATCACCACTACCACTATCGTCAGCCTGCTGCATCCTTCCCTCTTCCCTCCTCCCCTTGCTCCATTCATCCTCCTCCCCTCCTCCTCCTCCTCCTCCTCCTCCTCCTCCTCCTCCTCCTCCTCCTCCTCCTCCTCCTCCTCCTCCTCCTCCTCCTCCTCCCCCCCCTCGTTTCTCCCCTCCCCTCCCCAAACCTCCGACGTCGGGACAGTTCTGCCTTCACGACGCGGACCCCCGAAGGTCTCCCCTTCCCCGAGGCCGGCGTTTCATCCCGAGCTGCTTTCTGACGGCCCCTGGGCTCGGCATGGGCCGCTGGAGGCGGGAACAAAAAACAGAACAGCAGAACAACACATCGTGATGTCGTCACGACCAAGGCACGCGGAGCTCCACGGACCGAAGCTCGACGCCCAGAGCTCTCCTGGGGTGCGTTTGGGCCAGGATTCCAACGCGGATCTTGCCACGGCGAGAAATCAATGAGAAAGTACTATATCCCTGAACCACGATTCGCGCACCCCTGGAACGCGTTCGGCGAGACGCAGTTGCCACCAAACACCCCTCCAGTTGCTACCAAGCACCCCTCCCCCCGAGGCGAGAGAGCTTCCAATAACTCGAACCGCGATGCCACCCTGGCAGCAGGCGGATGAAAAGGAGCAAGGGGACGAGGACGAGGAGGCAGACTCCTCCATCCCTTCTCCTTATGAATACGGCGAGGGCATCGGATAAGGAAACCTCAGATACGGAATCCAGGGTCCAGAGGCCGGTATAACGTCAATTGAGGCCTGGCCATGGATATCACCGCCGCCCTCATCAAATAAGGAATCCTCCAGGGTCTGCAGCCTCCTGGGCACATTCTTTGATCGACGCTCCCACCGTAAGAAGCAGCTCCTCGCCGTCACACCCCAGGACGTGCCGGCAGGGCGTGCCGAGCGTTCCGCTCGAGATTCGTTTGCCGCGGATGATCCTCGAGCTGCAAATTTGCAGCAGCTTCACGGATGGAGGGTGCGCGGTTTACAAGTGTGGTTCTCGCCCCAGCGCCGCGCACATGTGTCCTCATAATGTGCAAGAGCTTCGGGGATGTAGGGCGCGCGTTGTTCAAAATGTGTTTCTGGCTTCCACGTCGCACGCATGTATCTTAAAAGTTTGCCAGGGTTTCATGGATGGAGGGCGGGTCGTTTTCAAAACGTGGACACCGCCTCAGCGCCGCGCACATTCGTTTTACCAATTTGCAGGAGCTTCACGGATGGAGGGCGGGCAGTTTTCGAAATGTGGCCTTCAGAGCTAACACCAGCTTCAAGGATTCTTATGGTTGACGTCCTAGCAAGTGTCTGTTAGCACGATGTAGTACAGTCGGGGCGCAACAATTGTGTTGGCTCGTGGTTTTGAAGTCCCAGGAACGGTGTTCTGGCACGATTCAGGGTCGTCAGGACGCAACTGTAACGCTGATTCGCGGCATTCGAGTTCCAAGAATGGTGCTCTGGCACGGTTCAGGAATTTCAGACGGATGTCTTCCGACGGGGCACTTCCCTCAGTGAAAATGAAACATTGTATGGGACCTATGAAGAGCGAACTTAAAGGGAAATATTATTGTAGTGGCCTTCGGCCAGTGCCGCCGATCCGGGTCGCTCGGTGTTATTCTCCAGACGCAGACATTATGGGCGCACACTCAAACGCACAAACTTCTCGGGTTACCTTCGAAAGGGCGTAGGAATGCAGTTGGGTCAATAGAGCCATCTCGCAACAGTGGTTCTATCAACGGCGGGGTGCTTGCAGTGACCGTGGGGACGGGAAATAATAATGCCATGCAAATTCCATACAGGATGCCGATCACTTTGGAAACTCACGATACGTCTTGCACGGAGTCTTGTTACGAAACATGTGGCCTGGACGATGTGGTGCGAGCGGTGGAGGCGAGCCTATCGGCGCAAGGACGCCCTCTTGGGGCGTTTTTTGAGCCATCTTAGGAGCCTGTCAGGGCGTCGTGGGGGCTTCTTGGGGGCTTTCGGAGGCCCTCTTGGAGGCTCTTGGGGCCTCCTGGGGGCCTCGTGGGCTGGAAGGCTAGATTTTTTCCGCTTTTCGTCCCTCTTTTGGGTCCTCTTGGGGCCGTCTTGGGGGCCTGTTGGGCCGTCTTGGGCGGCTCTTGGGCCGCCTTGGGGCCCTCTTGGGCCGTCTTGGGACTGTCTGGGGGCCTCCTGGGCCGTCTTCGAGCGGTCTTGGGGGCCTCTTGGGCCGTCTTGGAGCGTCGGAAAGCCGAAAAAAGCGACAACCCCAAAAACATTGGAAAAAAACCACTGGGAATCAACGATTTTTACCTCTGGGGGCCATCGTGGGAGGCCTCTTGGAGGCCTCTTCAGACGTCTTGGAAGGCTCTTGGGCCGGCTTGGGGCCATCTTGGGCGTGTTCTGGCGATCCGTCGGGGCCTCGGGACTTTCTTAGACCGTCCTCAGAGACTTTTGCGGCCGCGGCCACCCTTCCAGCGCATCCTCGAGATTAGAGCCTTCTTTAAAAGCAGCGCCCCGCATCCGCCGGAAACTCGCACCCCCCCCCCCATCCCCCCTTCCCCGGCAGAGCTACCCCGGCACCCCCCCCAAAGGCTGAGGCTCAGCCTCGAGGCTGTAGCTGAGACTCCTTGAAACTCACACGCCGGATCGGCGGATTTCAACATCGTTGATGAGTCCTGGGCTTTACGCTTGTCTTCTGCGTCATCATCATCGTCACCAGTACCTTCAACATCATCACAGTCACCACCAACAGCATATTCATCACCATCACCACCACCATCATCATCATCATCATCATCATCATCATCATCATCATCATCATCATCATCATCATCATCATCATCATCATCATCATCCACACTCCTCCTCCTCCTCCTCCTCCTCCTCCTCCCTCCTCCTCCTCCTCCTCCTACTCCTACTCCTACTCCTACTCCTACTCCTACTCCTACTCCTCCTCCTCCTCCTCCTCCTCCTCCTCCTCCTCTCCTCCTCCTCCTCCCTCCCTCTCCCTCCCTCCCTCCCTCCCTCCCTCCCTCCCTCCCTCCCTCCCTCCCCCCCCCCCCCCTCCCTCTCTACCCCCCTCCCTCCCTCCCTCCCTTCCCTCCCTCCCTCCCTCTCCTCAGCCTCCTCCGCCGCCTCCTCCCCCTCCTCCTCCTCCTCCTCGTGCTCCTCCTCCTCGCACCGGGCGCACGCGTGCGCGACTTGTTCTACCTTTGGGGAGAGCAGCCAGATGCATGCATTTTCCTTGGGGTGTCGTGTTTGTCAGTGTAGGCGAACAGTGCGTTTCGTGGTATGGAACATGCACTTGTCCGCGCGCTTGGGGGCGCAGCACTGGTATCCATGGGCCACGCAGCGAGATGGGTAATGTCCCGTGGGGGCCATCGCCAAGACCCTTCTTATTCCCAAAACAGCGCTTTCACTTACAGCCAGGGCCCTGAAGAAGGAACCCTTTTCGTTCGGGAGGGCCTCCGCGTTCCTTAAGTGTTTCACAGCTTGCCTCAGGTGTTCCTTATGTTTTCGATCGGAAATCGAAGTTTAACTTATGGAAAAAAGGGGCCTCGTTCCTTATTCAGGGTTCCTTAGGTCAACGCCCCGACTGTAGAGGTTCTTACTCGTCTCCTGAGACGCCTGAGCTCTGGTGGCGGTCCGGCCGGCTCGTCGCCGCCCGTCGCCACTGGACCCCAGCAGTGGTCCCGCCGGCCCATCGCCGCCCATCGCCGCGATGCTTTGCGTTGTGTTGCACTGCTTTGCGTTGCCGTGCATCGCATTGCGTTGCTTCGTATTGTTTTTGTAATGCCCTGCATTGGCTTCCGTTGCTTTGCAGTTTTTCCTTGCATCGCATTGCATCTCTTTGCATTGCATTGCGATCGCATTGCATTGCATTGCAATCGCAATTCGTTGCAATCGCAATGCGTTGCTTTGTATTGTTTAGCATTGCGTTGCATTGCGTTGCGTTGATTTGCGGTGCGTTGTATTGATTTGCATCGCATAGCATTTCTTTACAATTGATTTGCAGTGCTTTGCATTAGTCGGCACCGATTTGCATTGCATTGCTTTGCATTGCTGTGCATTGTTTTGCTTTGCATTGCAATCGCATTGTGTTGCATTGGTTTGCGTTGCCCTGCGTTGCTTTGCACCAGATGCATTGCACCACATGGATTGCACCACCCAGGTTGCACCGCACTGCTTGCACCACATAGATTGCTCACCGCACAGGTTACAATAAATTGCTGGTTGGGGTCCACGCTGGCTAACATGCTGGCTTCCTCCAAACAACAACACACATTTAAATACTGTTCGGTGTTATCTGCTCGCGTGTCATTCAAAATGTGTATTCCAATCCATCGAAACCAACCCCCTTCGTCTTCGATCGCACCCCCCTTGGGGGAGCATCTTCCTTGCATGCTACGTGTAGTTGGCGCAGCCCCTAAAAGAGGGGAAGGGAGGAAGAGGGAAGGGACAGGGGGAGGGAGAGGGATGGAGCACGAGAGAGATTAGCAGGAGTGGGGTTCAGAGCAGGAAAACAAGCAGCAGAACCAGACGGGCAGGTCGGGCGGGCGGACTCTAACAGGCGGGTCGGGCGGGCGGGCTTAGACGGCGGGGTCGAGCGGGCGGGTCGCTGAAGCAGCAGTCCTGCGTGGATCGCGAGGAAGTTTCGAGCGATAGCGCGATCCCCAAGCAAATCGTCAGGAAGTTCAGAGCGAGAGCTTGATTTCTGAATGTCGAGGGCGCGGCGCAGCGTCTCAATAAGTGTAGAGGAAGTCCGACGCGAGAGCTCGATTCTGGTACACACTTGTAAGCAAGTATCAGGCTGGAGCCATTATGTTGCTGTAGTTCGGGGGCCAGGGCCGCAGTCTGAGCTTCGATATGTTTCCTTGATATCAACAGGGTGCGAGCCCCGGGAGGAACACTCCAATTGAAAAAAAACAGGTGGACCGGAGGGGAGGATCAGCAATATGAATCGTTCAGAAATCAGAATTCATCAAACATTGAGTTTAGAGCTCTCGAACAGTGCTGCTCGACCAACGAGACGCGGAGCTTGTCGCTGCAGCGCTGGAAGGGAGATGACCACGAATTGCCCATTGTTCGGGCTCCCGCCCAGAGGCCTCCTGAGGGGCCGAACGGTCTTACACAATCCATTGGAACAGTGCAACAGTGCTGGAGTAGGACCCCGAGTGGCGCATTGCTGCCCTTTCGGTGCCGCCGTTGTCGGGCCGCGACCCTTCTGCCACCCACCTGGGCACCCCCTTGTCGAATCCACAAGTGCGGGGAAGTGCCGATGAGGGCTTGACGACTTATGCCGTCCTTTGACTCGCGCTGAAGGAGCCACGGTTTGCTCAATATTTCCTTGGCGATCCCTGGATTTATTTATATATATATATTTGGATTTACCCAGATGTCCCTCGATTTGCTCGCATTTACCTTAATTCGGCTGGCTTGATCCCCAGAGGTCGATTGGCGAAAAATCAGCTAGCCCTTAGGGAGAAGCGAGCAAAGATATGTCGGGCACGCGCCTTCCCCACCGGCTGCGGTCGCTCTGCCTCCGTGCGGTGATGCCGCCCTGCGGCAGGCGGTGCCGTCGACATCGCGCAGGAGACAGCGGGGCGAACGGGTGCACTCTGAGGGCACGCCGGCTTCTGAGAAGGCATCACAGAAGGCGGCGCAGCCTCAAAGGCATTCCTTGCGGCGTGGCGGAAGGCTCCGTCTTTCTCCCCGCTGCCGCATGCACGTCGCCGACGGTCGGCCCGCGTGCGAGTCAGCGAGGCGCAGTGAGCTCAGCGCGTCAGCTCTTCGAGGACTGGACACTCGATTTGGACGCCGCCTTGGCGCCAGAGCTCGATGCGGAGCTCGCTGCAAAACCGTTGCGGACCTGCCAGGCGGATGGGTCGGGCTCCGCGTTGTCCAGGGGCGTTGGACCGCCCATCTCATTGATGAACACGCGCGTGTCGCGCAGAAGGCTATCTTTCCATGTCTATTGATCGATATTCCACGCCAGCGTTTCATGCCATTCACCATCGTGACGATGCTCGTGCGACGACACACGACTGGATGCGCATGCGGAAGGCCAGCGTCCCATGTGGTGCTCCACACCAGCGTTGCATGGCAAGCATCATCATGACGATGCTCCTGCGACGACACACGACTGGATGCACGTGCGGACGGCCAACGTTCCGTGTGTATGCATCGGCGTGCCACACCAGCATATCATGGCACTCATCATCATCATCAGCATCAGCATCAGCATCAGCATCATCATCATCATCATCATCATCATCATCATCATCATCATCATCATCATCATCATCATCATCATCATCATCATCATGACGATGCTTCCGTGACGACTCAAGC